GATCCCGGTCGCGGTCCTGTTCCGATTCCAATCCGGATCCCGGTCCCTGTGCGGTGGCGGCAGCAGCTCAGCCCACCTGAGAGCGATGGAGCGGTCAGTGGGTCCGGAGGCGCTGGCCGGATCCGCCTCGTCTCCCTGGGTCACGGAATCAYTTAGKTTGGAAAAGATCTCTGGGAYCATCGAGTCCAACCTATGACCCAACACTACTGTGTAAACCAGACCATGGCACTGAGTGCCACGTCCAGTCATTCCCTAAACACCTCCAGGGACGGTGACTCCATCCATCACCTCCCTGGCCAGCCCATTAATCACCCTTCCATTCCTCCTGACGTCCAACCTGAACATCCCCTGGCACAGCTGATTACTATGTCGTCTAGTCCTGAAGGACTCCTACTCGCTTGCATCAAAGCCCTGCAGGATTTCCCCTTGGAAGCACAACCGCTGGCAAAATCAGCAGCGGATTAGCAGTAATGAACGCATAATGGGTTTAATAATCCCACGGGTTTCAGCCCCCTTTGATGAAGGCTGGCCTGTGGACAAAAGACATGGCAGTGTGTTCACGCAGCGACTCCCCCGCCACTCTGCGGGGAACAAATCGAGAGGAAAAGCGTTTAGACAAACCTCTCTTTTGTCTCAAGGAGGGGAGGAGGACGCTCCAGGAGGCTGCGATGGGAGAGGGGTGGTTCTGTGAAGAATGGGCAATTCCAGCAAGCCAGGGTTAAACCTCGAAACTGGGGATTTCTGAGGCGGAGTGGGTAGCATTTCTGAGGCGGAGTGGGTAGGATTTCTAAGGCCAGGAGTGCTGCAAGGGGAGGATTAGGAATGCACGGTAGCTCTGAGGATGTGAAGAAGGAATTGAGTACAGAGGGAGAGATGCTGAGGAGGACTAGGAGAGGTRATGTGGGTGCTTAGAAAGGTTGTCTAAATAGTTTCTGTCTTTAACAGCAATCACAGCAAACAGCCATATGCTAATGCTTTTAGACTGAGAGTAGTTGTAGATCAGAAATCATGAAGAATTTCTTTACTGCAAGGATGATGAGGMCCTGGCACAGGATGYCCAGRGAAGCTGTGGCTGCCCCATCGCTGCAATTGTTGCAAATTGTTCCAGTTTGGACGGAGCTTGGAGCAACCAAGCCTAGTGGAAGGTGTCTCTGCCTGCGGCGGGAGGCTGGAACCACATGGTCTTAAAGGTCCTTTCTAAACCATTCCCTGAACTGAATGTTTGGACAACCATCAGTGCAGTTCATCAGMGGACTGAGGGCAGTTTATTGAGGGCTCTTGGGCAGATCAGACCTACAACAACAGCAAAACCCTGCCTGAAGAGAKCTAGAAGAGCTGAGAAAAATAAAACAAAACCTCATCACTGCATGGCTTTCCTGTCATAGATAAACTGACTATGTTTAAGATGGATTGCAAAATCTCCATTTCCCCCGTTGCTGTCTGTGGTTGGATGGAATGTTTGGACCAGATCTCCCMGTATTCACCCTAATCGTGATGGTTATCACGGTACTGAGCACCACTCAGTCCTGCTCAATGTTCTGTTAACTGTTACAGGCCTTTATTTTAGAAATTYCGGGCCTTTGTAGTTAAATGCAGTAAAATTTGTTAGTGGAAACAGACATCTAGAGAGATTTGAATGCAAAAACTTACTTATGCTGCAATATGTGCAGCATATTCCACAGTGAAAGGTAGATTTTAGAAGGTCATGGAATAATTCCCTTAATCTTCATCAATGCAATTTTGAATTTTCTTT